CCCTATTTAATCGAACACATTAAATGAATCTACGTTATGGTTGAGACAGAGTCAGCTATTATTATGAATGAGAGTTTGTTTTGTTCAAGTAAATTGGCATTATGACATTTGTGTATTATTTTCATACCTTCCCCGGCTGAAATTATTCAAAATCAAACGTATACACATGAAAGATCGGTTTAAGAGTATTCATCTTTTTCCTACTTTGATGTAATATTTAAGAGGTTTGGTAATAGATATTATCTCTTCTTTTACAACTTCAAAATATTAGGTTTTGTTCTCTTTATCATTTTCAAACCGTTATCTGTTTTCGATTTTCAAAAACAGTGAAAATACGTTTTCTTTCCTATTTTCGAAAACGCGTTTTTGAAAACAAATTAGAAATTTACAAAGAAAACCCAAAACGACAAATTTGTAACTTTTTGTGTTTTCAGTTATAATCAAGTCAAAATTTTCAAAACACGTTTTGGGTGTTTTCAAAACAATTTTTCAAAATGTCAAAAAGAACACATTTTCAACAATCTCAAAAGGACACTCAAAACACAAAATACAAAATGAATTCAAAACACAAAACTCAAACACAAAGAGAGCAGCCCCTTAGCCTTTCGAGAGTACAAAATAATAGGCATATCTAGAGCATTGTCGTGGACAAGACAATACAATGTTATAAAGCCCCTGTTTGGTAGAGATTAAAATCAGTTTTTTAGTAAATTTTGATAAAAGTTGATGAAATGTGTGGTTGAAAAATTGCGGATATCATGAAATGTATAGTTAAAATTAATTGTTGACTATGACTTGAAATTTTAATTGTATTTCAATCCAAACCAAACAGGGGCAAGAAGTTTAGGAATTCGGAGATGAGTTATACATGTATGGGTAAATATATATTGTTCTCCTCCACCTTATGCTCTTCATATTAGTTCAAAACAAGCTGTAGAAGTTGGATTGGGTATATGGTGAGAGACAAACACAGAAGTTTATAAACTGCACTGCACACAAGGGATGGGAATTTATCAGTTTCTATTAGGACACTTTTGTAGCAAAAACTAAAAGTGAGGCCTCCATAAAATTTGTTCTATGTTTTTTTTTTTTTTTTCAATTTAATACCTTATCAAAATACAAATAGCCCACTTGGATTACATCTACATGCAACTTGTGACTGGTGAAAAGGAAAAGATTTTGGACTATTGGGGTGAGTTATTGCCTATAAAGAATACCATCGTATTAGATATAGTTGTTATTTGATATCGAAAAACATTAGAAGAAAATTTTGATTAAGGAGCAAGATATTATAGAACGATTGAAACATTTATTTTGATCCAAATTATATTTATGAATGTTATTAGAGTTTCACTTGCACGGTTGAATGAAAAAAATAAAATAAAAAAAATTGTCAAATGCTTTTTTAATGCTTGGCTTTCAACTGTTCTCCTCCATGATGGCGGTTCTTGAAAATTAAACCAAAATTTTGAGAATTTTGCTAAAAATAAGAAATATTCGATTATTCATTTGGTTGCAAAGATGAATTTTTGACCCAATTTTTAATAATTATACTTCATTTTTCTTAAATGCGTATTCATTTGGTGCAAGGATGTCATTGGTGGGAACCACTTGATGATCACAACAAAGTCAAACGTATAGTTCTAAGGTAACATCCTAAGATAAAACCTCAACACAAACATAGCACAAATCATTTTTATCCACCTGTTAATTGCGAAAGTGAACTCAGAGACGTGCAATTTATATACATCTTCACTCGGATCATTATACACTAGTACCACCTAAAAAGGAGCCTAAGGAAAAACTTTGAATGTCTTCGACATAAAATAATCTAAAAACTACCTAGAAGAATCCTTTAATCTTAGCCAAAACCAAAATCTCAATAAATGTAGAGCGATCTACATAAGATTTTTTTTTAAAAACATTTGATTGTCACTCCATTATGCTCATTGCCAAAGCTCTTCCATAATATGGTGGAAAAACTTGATCCTAACAAGGGAATGGAGAAGAGAAACCAAAAGAAAAGATCAACACCGAAAATAATTTGAATGCGTAATCGTTATCCTCAAACTAAATTTGCTCCATCTAAGATTGATTTTGATGCTTAAAATGACTCACGGCAAACAATTTGCAGGATTTAACAAGCCTTAGCAGAAGATAAACACTAAACACTTGAGTTTTTAACCAAAAGAAAAGATCAACACCGAAAATGATTTGAATGCGTAATCGTTATCCTCAAACTAAATTTGCTCCATCTAAGATTGATTTTGATGCTTAAAATGACTCACGGCAAACAATTTGTAGGATTTAACAAGCCTTAGCAGAAGATAAACACTAAACACTTGAGTTTTTTCCTTAGAACATGAAGAACACTTGAATGAAGGAATATGTATAGAAAATTTTGTAAAAGATTCTTTTTATATGAAATGATATCATGAATTTGATGATTAGATGTGTTTTAGAATGAAATATATCTCCTATTTATAGATTATCATTCATACACCACAAAAAAAATCTCATAGTTCATGAAAAGATGATTTTTTTTTCATGAAAATGCGCTAAAACGGACAAGAATTTCAAACATAATGGTCTAAGAATTGGCTTGAGCAATCGCCTAGTACAAAATCGGGCTCTCACCCTGGCCATAGTTTTGGCATCGGGTAAACCAAATCAAGGCCGAGCGAGTGCCAAGCCACTTGCCCAGGCAAAAATTTCAATCCCTCCATTTTTTCTTCTCGTTTTGCTTTCAATATTTCCGTACTTGCTGACACACCTAGGTGGATGTATTATCAATCCAATATACTTATCATTATATGTTGAACAATAAATTATAGCAATCTCCCACTTGTTCAACTTTATAATGATACACATATTCAAAGTAGCAACACTTGTGCATACACATTAGATATCTTTCTATTGAGTCTAACCATAATATAATTTTCACGAAGTATCATCAAAATTAAAGGAAAAATGATAGTTTTGAACCACTTATTTCTTGTGATAATACTGGTGAAAACACACACACACACACACAAATGCATGTGCTCACAAGTTCCTAAAACTCGCTTAGCACTAATATGGCATTGCGTTTATCCTATGTTGAACTTTTAAAACAAAAAACTTCAACTCTCTATTGAGGTGGCATCACCTCGAAGTTCATTAAGGTGAAGCTCTTTTAGTATCTTTGTTATTCTTAAAAATACTTGTACTTAGTACTGAACTTTATTAAGAACTTTAAAGTTTAACCTTCCTTTGAGTAACAACCAGCATTATATAATTAAGATAGAGTTTTTGCTGAGATTATAATATTGAAACTATTCGCTTATCTAATGACTTTTTTTTACCCTTTGAACTTGTAAATTACTCTTTTACTAATGACATGTAAGATTGTCATCACCCTGGATCTTTTAGTTTAAGAGTTTCAATCACATCCTACTCGAATTAGATGTTACTATATCTCTATTAAGAGGTTTAGTTAAAAGATCTACTAGATTTTCAATTGATTTAACATAACTTAAAGAAATTATTCCACTATTGATTAATTTCCTTATATAGTCATATTTTAGACTTATATGTCTAAACTTTCCGTTGTCTACATCATTGTATGCTTTTGCTAATGTGACTTGACTATCACACATTATATATATTGAAAATGTATTCCTTAATCCCAAATGATATCATATAGTAGATCCTTAAACCACATAACTTTTTTCCCAGCATCTAATAATGCCATGAATTTAGATTCCATGATTGAATGTGTTATGCAAGTTTATTTTTTAGGTTTTCAAAAATTGCATCTCCTCCTAGAGTAAACACACAATCCGAAAGTAGATTTACTCTCACCGGTGCTTAAATATCCAACTAGAATCGGTAAGTGACGTAAGCCCTTCTAATATAGCCATGAACTTGGAACATTGAAAACCTAAAGCCCTGTTCTATTTGCTGTTTTCATGCCATTTTCTATTTTCGATTTTTCAAAACAGTGAAAACGTGTTCTCTTCTCCGTTTTCAAAAACGAATTTTTGAAAACAAAAAAAAAAATGGCTTGTAAACACAAAACATCTTTTTGACGTTTTGAGTGTTTTCAAGCAAAAACATGGAAAAATCACAAAACACGAAAAACGACCCCCTCTTTCTCCATAATTGTGCATTAGAAAGGCAGAAGAACAACCGCATTCTTCCTCGACAATCAACCACCACGGGCCACTGAGACCATCAGACCCCACTACCATTCGAACCCTCACCTCCATCTTCAACCTTTTGTCATCACCTGGCCACGGAGTTGCTTAAAATAGCCCCAATCACCACCCAAAACCACGCTACCAGTCACGAATTTTGCTATATTTCCACCGCGGTCGGCCACCGTTTTGATCGCGGACCACCACCACTCCACTCCTCTCAATCAAGATCATCTACTACCTCCATGGGCCACCTGCAATTTTGTCCAGAATCAAGTGAGCTTGCGAAAATTGATGATTTATTTGGTTTATCCCTCTTCTCAATTTTGTCCAGAATCAAGGGAACCATTCTGCTATCTTTCTTCTTCATTTACTCTATATCCCTTCTCTTATGTATGTGTGTATTCAGGGAATTTATTTACTCATTTGTAGATTAATAATTGATCAATTGAATTTTGGAATGATTTATATTTATTTGATTCGCTAGGTAGGGAAAATGCTTTTCGATTTTCTATTTTGATTAATAAGAGTTGAAAAATAGTGATTGGTTGAATAGTGATTAATGATTTGATTGGTTTACAGCTGGAGAGTCTTCATTCTATGACTGATATGGTGAAAAATAGGTGTACTCAAAGAATTGGCTCCAAAAATTGATCCGGATTGAATAATGTTTGTTTTGTTACCATCGACTGATTTCCTGAAATGAATTTGAGGTGTTCTAGATGATTCTGTTTACATAGAAGGGTGTGGTAGTTGGGATTTTTTTGGTAACTATTTTCCTATTTTGTTTTGGAGATTTGATGATATTTGATTTTGTTCAAGATGGGATTAAGCGGTGATAGCTTGGAGGTGGGGTCTTGGGAGGTGGGGAAATCAAAGGGGAGGAAGAAAAAGAATGGTGATGCTGAGGTGGAAACTATGTGTTGGATTAAGTTGAGATATATTGGTAGCTGTATTTCTTCCAGATCAAAAGTTGATAGCCCACTTAGTGGCGTCAGCACTCATGGTAATTCATTAATTGATTTTAAGTATGTCTTATACCGATTTAAATTCGATTGTAGGTCTAAAAAAATATGTTCTTTGTTGTCAGTTTAATCTCTGTTGTTGGAATAGTATGTGATTTCCATATCTTTGTGTCGTATTGTTTTAATCTTGAAAGTGATTTGCTGAAGAATGGCCACAATGGAGGAAGATGAGTATCCAATTTCAGCCAATATAGAAGAGAGTAACCAAGTGGTGGTTCCAAGAGCCAGACTACAGAGGGCTAATAGCAGGAAAGCTACATATGTTCTAAGTGATGATGATTCTGAAGATGCTGCTAGTGCGTCACTTCCCAATTCAAATTTCAGTTACTTTCGTTGGTTGTCTCCTCCCATTTTCTTCTTCTTGTCTAATTTGATATCTTTTGATCCCCATTGATTTTCCACTTGACATGATTGTTTTGTTAGGGGTTATGGTTTTGGTATCTCGCCTCTTGGATATAATGTGCCGGAGTTGCAACATTAAGAGAAAAAAATGGAAAACTTGAGCTAAAGCTACTCAGTTAACTTGCTGCATTTCTTTGTTTGGCATATTTTAGATAAAAAGTATGTTCAGTTTATCATAATTCAAATTCTTTTTAACATTTTGGAAAGTTGTAGAAAAAAGAGAAAGTGGGATCAGCCAGATGAGTCATTAGTTTTAACTAGAGTAGCATTACATGGAATTCTTCAATTGGCAAACATTGGATATCTTGCCAGGATAACTTTGCCTGTAGTTTCCCCAGCATCACGTGCTTCTATCGTAAATACTCTTTCTACTATTGGTGCCTCCATTCAGCAAGTGCTTCAAGTGCCTCTACAGCAGTATGCGAGAGTTTAAGGGTAAACAAAAAATGCAACGTATATGGATTGGGGTGTTGATCCTTGAATTTGTGACAGGTCGAAGGCCAGTCGAGTAGGCGAAGATAATGTTGTGATACTAGCTGATCATGTGAGGGCATTACTTGAACAGGGAAATTCCCTAGATTGTGTGGATCCAAACATGGGAAATTACCCAGAAGACGATATTTTACCTATTCTTAAATTGGCATTGGTTTGCACTTCTCAGATACCTTCCAACAGGCCATCCATGGCAGAAGTGGTGCAAATACTATAGGTGATCAGTGCTCCAGTTCCACAGAGATTGGAAGGATTCTAAATACAAGTGTTTTGTTACATTTTTAATATACATTTCTAGTGTTTTAATGTGTATTGACAATTGATGGGGCTTTCTCCTTAACAATTATACTTTTGCCCATGTATTGTTTCTAAAACTTTTGTTTCATATTGTTCAACTACCCTGTCCAAAAGTTTAAGTTGTTAAAGAACGATGCAATCAGAATTGAGTTAGACACCACGGGGTTGTGGGCCATGCTATTTTCCAAAACAGAAATAATGGAATAGTCTTGATCGATAGTCACATTTGATCGAATGACCTTACTTTTTTCAAGCACTTGTGAACACTGTGCATGGAAAAGCCCATAAATCCTCCCGTGTATCTTCTTGCAAATCCTACCTCAAAAGTTTTATTGATCTGTAATGGGGAAAAGTTTTTTGCTGATTTATGATATTCAGATTGGGTAAATTTTCTTTTACACTCGTGATACTTTTCTCTAATCTCGATTTCCTACATATGTTTTGTATTTATATATTTCATTATGTGTTAATATTTACAATGGAAGCAAAACAAAATACGAAATGTGTGCACCAGACAAACTAATGATAGTCATCGTGTTTAGAAGATCAAAATTGTATTTGGCAAGAATTATGAGAACTAACATGAACTCGATATGATTGATTTCAAAATATTTATTACCATGTCAACATGAGATTGGTGCTCTCCTTTTTTGCAATTTGATTAGGTTTGGTTGTGACTTGATGCTAATTAATTCTTGTAACAAATTACATACAAGGACAAAGACAAGGATTTGCCAAATTTAATTTAGGTTGTGTTTTTTATATCTGGGAAAAAAAATATTTCAAGATTCACCAACTTCAAAATTTATATGTTATTTAATACTATATAATTATTAAACTATTAAAATTTATTGAATAACCAGATTTTTTAAATAAAATATTATAAAAAAATATTCTCAAAATTTCAAAGTAAACACGTTTTCCATTTTTATGTTTTGAGAAACGGTTTTTCAGAATGATAAAAAGAAACTCATTTTCAACAATTTCATAACAGACACTCAAAACACAAAACACAAATGAATTCAAAACTCAAAACTGAAACACAAAGAGAACAACCTCTAAATTTTTTGTTTTCTTTAAATAGCCAATAATTCTCCCAATGGCCTTCCAATGTTCCTTGATCGAGTTACTAGTAAACCTACTAAATTTACTAATCGCAAATGCTATGTCTAGTCTTGTACATTGAACTATATACATAAGACTCTCTGTAGCACTTGCAGACTCCAATTGAACGATTACTCTTCTATCATTCTTTATAAACTTAGAACTTGGATAAAGAAGGATACTATACTTTTTTATGTTCCAAGTATTTGAACTTATATTTCACATTCTGATATAATGTGATTCACTCAAATAGTAAACACCACTATTCTTAGTAACTTTGATATCCAATATGGTAGACACTGTCCAAAATCTTTCATCTTAAATGTCGAAGATAAAAACATCTTCGCTCTTTTATTCCATCCATGTGATTACTTAAAATTAACATGTCATCAGCATACAAGTAAATAAATATAACATATTTATTACATACTTTCAAATATAAACACTTATCTATACTATTATATATAAACTCAAATGAAATAATTGTTAAGTCAAATTTTTCGTACCATTTTTTAGATACTTGTTTTAAGCCATATAATAATTTTATTAACTTACACAACTTATGTTCATTTCTCGGTAGAACAATCCTTTAGGTTGTTCCATATAAACCTTCTCATCGAGATCACCACTTAATAATGTCGTCTTGACATCTATTTGATGAACATGCAAGTCATGTATGGATGCTAATGCGAATAACACCCTAATTGATGTTATTCTAACTATGTGTGCATATATATCAACATAATCAATTCCTTTCCATTATCAATAACATTTGGGTACTAATCTAGTTTTAAAGGTATTAAGAAAACCATCTACATTATATTTTCCCCTAAATACCCATTTACAACCAACAAGTTTAGAACTGGGTGGTAAATCGACATGTTCTCTTGTATTATTTGACATAATTGAATCAATTTCATCTTTAATTGCATATTTCCAAAATATACTGTCACGAGAAGTGATAGCTTCTCTATAGTTTTTAGGTAGGTTTCCACTTGTAGAAAAAAAAAAGTATTGTTCTAACAATATTCTTCTCATTTTCCTCTACTAAGTAAAGTGAAATAAGTTGAAACTTCATCCGGTCCTAGGGTCATTTTTATCCGAGTTCTTTTGCCTCTTTGAGTCTCACTAGAATCATTAATATCTTTAGAAGATATTTCATCTTGTGTTCCACTAGAGTTAGGAATCTCATTGTGAGTTTCTCTTAATTCATTCCTCAAAGTTAGTAAATTCTCAAATAACTCAACGTTATTTGATTCAATTATCACATCGGTCTCCAAGTTCAATAATCTATATGATTTGTTATTACTAGTATATCCAACAAGGCACATTTGATGCTTCTTGGATTCAACTTAGTTATTTTAAGATCTTTATTCTTACATATGCACGACACCTCCACACTTTAAAGTATCCGATATTTGATTTTCTTCCTTTTCACAATTCATATGGAGAATTTTTTATAAATTTTGAAGAAATCCTATTTAATATTCTACATGCACTCAACAAGGCTTCACCCCACAAGTTATATGACAACTTAGCATATGTTAACATGACATTTATCATTTCAACTAATATTCTATTTTTTCTTCCAGCCAAACTATTTTGTTCAGGTGTCCTAGGTGCAAAATATTGATATACTATACCTTATTATTCACAAAATGAATTAAAAACACCGAGTATAAGTTTTTATTTTCTTATTTAAGTGATTTTGAACTTCATTTTTATATGTTTTGAAAATAACAAATGCTCCGTGTTTATGTTTCATTAAATAGACATAAATATACCTAGAGTAATCGTTTATGAATATAATGAAATATCTATTTTTATCTCTAGTTAACATGCCGTTAAATTCACATATTCCGAAGGAATAAATTCTAAAATTTGTGTAGTCCTATTCACACTTTGATAAAGTTTCTTAACCATTTTAGATTCTACACATATTTTACATTTATAAGCATCATTCACATTGTATGAAATCGTATCACATTCAAGCATTCGTTTCATTGTACTAGCTTCTATGTGATCTATTCTAACATGCCATAAAGTAAATGAATCAATCAAGTAAGCAAAATCTACTCCATTATTATTAATATTGTCAACGATACACAATTTAATTCGTTCATTCGCAGGAACAACTTTTTCCAACAAATTTCTCATTTCGGGATAGTACAAGTTTTCATCATAAACACTTTTGATGTTTTATTTTCCTAAAAGATCTTCATTTATTAAGTTTCTATTCATTTCGAAACAGGTATTACATTTGTTAATGTAATGATTTTTTCAGAAATGAAAGTGATATCAATATTTCATTTCCCTACCACTTTGGGAACGATCTTCATTACTCATTTGTATATACTGCTCTTCATTTGATTAATGAAGTTTTGAAGAGTTACTTATCATATAATATACATGATTGTTGCACGTGTCATACCACCAATCGGAGACTTTACCCTTGACAGCATTGATTTCACTCACGGTAGCGACAATGCTATCTTCAACAATGGTGTTAACTTTTTCCTTTTTCTTGTTTTGTTTTTGATGTCGACATTCTTTTGCAAAATATTCAGATTTTCCATATACAAAACAATCTCTCTTGGGCTCCTTAAACTTGTTATAGTTTTTGAAAGGTTTCCACTTGTTTGATTTGTTGGACGGCTCGATCTTTTCAACGACATTGGCTTTTGTAAATAAAAACCACCCGTCCCTAAAGTAAATATTTTTATTGTTTTTAAGGAAAATATGATCACGTGATCAAAAATTGAAAATTATTTTTCATAAAAAAAAATTGTCAATCAAGCATTTCGAAAGTAGAATCAGGCCTTGAGTTTGTTTAAGCTGATGAAGCAATCGGGCTGTGTTTCTAACAATGCTATTACTCTAGGAATGCTGGAGAGATTGTTACGCATAGAAGATTTGATGGAAATGAAACTCAAATGGATGTATGCCAAACCATGTTTACTTGGAACGCCATGCTTATTATGTGTGGCAACAAAGGAATGCACAAACATTCCAACCGAGAAATAAGGGTTTCAAGCCAAATGAGACCTCGATGCTCCATGGTTACTCAAAAGACGGAAATGTATATATATCCTACTTGGATGATTTTGAGAACACATTAAATCTCAACATTCAATTACATTGACAATTTTAGGATGTCAAAATTAGAGAACTGTAAGAACCCATGCTTGTTAGTCATAGAGAGGTCATACAAGCCCCTGGCTTCCAAGGCCTGTGTCAGTGACGCGTGCAAAAATCCCAAATGTATTAGGTCGTTCTAATATTTTTCTCTATATAAGGGGTATTAGGATGAGCTTCCATTCAATGTATATCATAGTAGAGTAAAAACAGACATCTAAGGTAAAAAGGATAAGCAATGTGAAATAAGAGAGAAACTGAAGTGCAAATCAAATCAAACTATCAAAGTATCTCCTTAACACAGATAAAAACTTAAAAAGAAAAACCTCAGATTACATAAAAACTATAAAGTTTAAGGGCAGAACAGAAAATATAATATCACATCATGTCATGATTGTTATTAGAAAACTAATAAAATCATAAAACGCACGTCCGTTCCTAACACTTGATTAATTTCATTTTTATGTGTTTTTTCTTCCAAGTTTTCAACTAATACAACCTATAGAATATTACATGACTACATATGTAGAAACTAAACCTACATATATCATTCCCTACCTTCTTTCAAGGACTAGAAATCTACACACAGCAAATTAACATAAAATATGTTTGATAGAAGGATTTCGAACAAAACTCACAATATTAAACCCCAACATGTCATCAGCCCAAGTGTTCCCCGAGCCTTGCAAGAAACTAACTTTTAGTATAGCCACAGGCTGAATCATGCTGGATATTAGCAACTGTAGACGTCAAGTATTCCAGCAAATGCAGAAACATCATCGAAAAGTGGATGCTAAGGATAAGTGTCACTTCCCTAGGCATTAGAAAATTGTGCACGCAAAAGCTTTAACAAATTCCACTTTCTTCTTCCAATCATGCGACAGAGCTGGCTAAAGATAGCTCGTGAAGCTCACTTAGCATCCATTCTTCCCCAGTTTGACCTCCAAGGACTATGGCCCTTGTGCCTCCGACCACGCATGTACTATGTCCCCAAGCAACTCTTGGAGGTCGCCCAGGTACTTTCAGAATTCTCCATGTTGGTTTTTCTTCAGTAGGATCAAGTATATAAAGCTGGGATGCAGAGTGAAGACCAGCCACAGATCCACCAAAGACTAGGATACTACCACCAGGGAGGGTCACTGCCACATGATCAAGTCGAGCAGGGGGGGCTATGCCACCTGGATTTCCGGCTCCAGGCATCCCACTACCTGTTACACATCTCCAACATGGTTCATCCTCACTCAGGTCCATGGTGAACACGTCACTTGATCTAAACCGCAGAGGACCACTTTTGGCAAGACCCCCAAACATCAAAATTTTCCTACCACCATAAACAGACAACGTGTGGCCCAAACGTGAAGGTGGAGTCCACCCTACTGGTATCTCTCGCCATACAGGTTTCTCCATCGAAAGATCAAGCAGGAAAGTGTCACTAAGAAGGACTCCAGAATCGGCACAACCACCGGACACTATCAGCTTGGTCCCATCAAGGGTACAGGAGCTATGCCAAGATCTAGGAAGTGGAGGAGCCAAGCTGGAGATTTCACGCCAAGTAGGATGTTTTGCATCCAAATCCAAGACAAAAACATCATTGAGTAAGCCTTGCCTCCCGCAGCCCCCAAACAGAACAAGATGAGACCCATTTACACAAGAAAGCGTGTGGCCCCAGCGCCCAGGAGGTGGAGAGCTCACTTTGACATGCTGCCACTCTGGATTACTTGAGTTCAGGTCCAGAACAAATGTATCATTCATGGGTTGCATGTTGGTTCCCTCACCACCAAAAAGAACCACACGATTCCCTACAGCACATGCACTGAAGTTGCAACGAGAGGGTTCAACAGCACCTCCAACAGTTAGGTTTCTCCAGGCTGCTGCTTCAAGAGTGGTAAGTTCCCTAGCCAACCTACCCCACCCCAAACGTTTAGCTCCAGGAACTGTCTCTAATACTTGAGTTGTCTCGAGACCCCATGCATTTTGACATACCATTCGCCACAGCTCTTCATTTTTTGTCAAATCATAAAGCCGCCAACAAACAGAGCCAATGGATGCAATATCCCTTGGAGCCAGCCGTGAAAGAATCTCCATAGAAAGAACTTCATTGCTCAACTGCATTATCCCACAAACCCCACGATTGGTATTCTTGTTCCCATCTGAAAATACTCCACCAGGAGAAATATTAAACCTAAACCTATCGGATGCCCTTCTGGATTCCTTCGCTGAAGATCCTGGAAGTTGACCTAGATCAAGATTAGATTTTGTAAAGAACTGAATGCCAATTATATGAGTTATTGTCTCATCATCACCATATATTGGGGTCATTCGCAACCTATTCATCAAGGGACTTCCATCTTTTCGAAAATTTAACAATTCGCCTTGAAATTCAACTCCTTCCTCGAGGCATCTTCTTATTTCAGTAACTACGGTGAGATCCACCAATGGATGCCTTCGCTTAGCAAATGGGCCTCTACATTGCAAGAAACGGCTGTAGAAAATTTTAACAGTCAATATATGAAAAGGAATATCATCCACAGATCAGCCACGCATCTCAGAAGCTTTGATAATGAGGAGAAATTTAAAGAAGTCATATGACTAAGCAGGAATTACAAAAAGGAGCTAAAACCCACTAAATAAAGGAAAAGAAATGGAAAATACAAGAATAACCCACCAACAGAAAATAAGAACAAGAAACACTTCCACAGACAATGAACAGAAATTGTTTTCCATCCACGCCAAATTTGCCAGGAGCAAGATTCTAAAATCACGGTTCCACATGAACTTACCAAATTGTCAAAAAGCTAAACACACTGCAAGTAGCACAACTAATGAAAGGGTGACATGATATTACAATAAAACAGAGATATTTACTCCAAGTAGCATCCACGTTACATTGGTCATTATACTCCAAAACAGATACCAACCCCTATCTAAGGAAAATGTTCTAGAAAAACTTACCGCAGAAACAACTGCCAAGAAAACTTTAGTTCTTTTCTACAATGCCAAAATCAACTACAAGCCCAGTATACTTCAATGATGTCCAAAAATAGAGAGCACGATGCAAGAAGTAAAGTAGCTCCCAAGGACCAGACCATGTAACATTCATTTTCCTTTTAACAGGCGTCATCAAAACTCAAATGGAAACCTTGAACTCAATAGTTGAAAATCTTGGTTCCTATATCAGGCTATGTAACATTCATCAGTCTCCATATTATTTTACCTTGTAAAAAGATCTAATCATTCTCGAGTCCTAAAGAATCAGATCTCCAATTCACAAGCTCGGGATGCTATAGGCTGCCAACATATTCAATGAAATTGAGGACGACAGGCGTTTATGTATCATTGACACTATAATATTACCAATCTGCTGAAAAAGAGAACAATTAAAAATCCCCATAACAGTTTATTATACACAGAAACACTTTTTATTCAACTTCCATGGAATGAAAAGTTCAAAATGGGTAAAGAGTTTCGTGCATTTAATCAAAATAAATAAAATTGATATAAGCATCATCAAAGAAAAAATGAAGTAGATTGATACTCCCAAAACATGCACGTCAAGAAAGAGGAAAAAATTAATAAAATTTTAAAAGTCACTTGCAAAATAGTACGAAAATAAAGGAGCTGCTTGGAAATCCTTCTTAAAATTTTTAAACATATCCAAACGTAGATGCACCAATTCATCAATTTCCCGTTTCTCAAGAGGCCATGACAAAGGTAATAAGAATTTATAGTCTGTCAATGCAGATCATTGCATTTTTTTATTCAATTTCCTATGAACTGCATCAGACTTTTGTCAATTGAAATTCAAACTACCACACCAAAGATAGGCACACTTCTATTTTGACAGGGCTAATAAAATTTTCAGCTGCAAAATTTATTTTATCCTAAGTGAAATAGATAAAGATTCTGTTTTAGTTTATCCATTTCAGTTATTATAATTATACTGGAACTTACGAAGCCTACTCATGTACAACATGATTGGGATCTGATCATATAAAAGAATCTCTTCAAGTTACAAGTATTTATATATGTCATCATTTAACCTCCCTACCTAAATAAGAATAAAATAATATGGAATTAGCCAAAAAAATTATGTTTTCTCAAGAGTAAACTATTTATACAAATCAACAAGATGAATATAGAATAGAATAAAGTTGAAGCATTAACTTTCATTCATAGTAATACTGAATCTTTATCTCTAGATTGGAAAAGAGGCTGTCCAAGAGTAACATTGAATAAGAAAGATATAGGGGCAATGCTGATAGACAATCAAGGAGCAGACGAGCAACGACAACAATGACAAAAGCTACACAATGTCAGAATGTAAAACAGTAGCAAACATCATAATTTTAACAATCACGCTACACGTACAGGCCCTGCTTCACAGGTCCTGTACAGGTTAACGTGTCAAGTAATAAAAAAAATAACGCAATTAAAACTAGTGAAAAGGACCTATCTAAATGGAAAGTTGATTCGCGTGACTATAGCTTTTCCGATGGTTTCAAAGGCTGAAAACATTTGATGGTCGATGCCGGAAGGGACTGCCGGAGGCAGAATTTTACCCAATGTTCAAATGCTGTGGCTGCAGAATAATTTTCCATTTGCAGAGTCCACTCTTCCCAGTAGCTCAATTTTTATGGCTATTTTCTTCTTCAATTAACTGGAAATAGCCATTTTTTCATGGCGGTTTTAGAGTTTCTTCAATCTTGCCGGAAAATTTCATTTTTCGCTGTGGGAAATTTTGGATGCTTTCAATTTTGTGACTCATTTTCTTGAATCTGATGTTGGAAAAAAATCATCCCAGATTGCTCTAATTTGTCTCAGTTACTTCTATTTTCTTGAAGAGATTTTCCTTATTTTTGTTGGTAGACTCTTTTGATTATTTTGAAAAGATGGGTTAGAGGCCAAGTGTCATTTTCAGTGTGGTTTCGGTGGAAGTTTGGGCTTTGGGCTTTAAAGTGTGGCTGGAGGTGCAGCGCCAGTAGGTTAGCCAAAGATGGAGAAGATGGGAGTAGTCGCGCCAGTGAAGATGGATTGAGTCGCGGCTGCGGTTTCAATCTCTATTTTGGGGGAAATTTGGAAATGTAATGTGTGAAATAGAGAGCTACATCTACACACTTTAATCTCCCTAAAAAATAGAGATTTTCCTTATTTTTGTTGGTAGACTCTTTTGATTATTTTGAAAAGATGGGTTAGAGGCCAAGTGTCATTTTCAGTGTGGTTTCGGTGGAAGTTTGGGCTTTGGGCTTTAAAGTGTGGCTGGAGGTGCAGCGCCAGTAGGTTAGCCAAAGATGGAGAAGATGGGAGTAGTCGCGCCAGTGAAGATGGATTGAGTCGCGGCTGCGGTTTCAATCTCTATTTTGGGGGAAATTTGGAAATGTAATGTGTGAAATAGAGAGCTACATCTACACACTTTAATCTCCCTAAAAAAAGGTAAGAAAATGGAAGGGAAAAATTTCCTCAAGTGCTTGTTCTTCATTTTCAGTGCAGTTCTTCTTTTGATTTTCACCATGTATAATTTACCAAATCAACTGGCGAACAAGTCGGAGTTATTGGAGTGCACCACTAATTCAACGTGGTGTATTTTGAAAAATCGAATCTTGGGAAAGAAGCCCAATTTCCTCCACCAGCCCACCACCGCGCTCCGCCATGACAACACGACGGATGTGCCCCACCACCCACTGGACCCTTTAACCATACAGGAAATGAACAAGACAGAGAGCGATTTAAGTCCCTTTACAAGGACACGGTTTATTCAGTTCACTCTCTAGTTCTCGAGGAGCCTGATAAGGAAGTGGTGCTGAAGTGGAAAAAGGGTGATGATCTACCTCCACGGAAGGCTTCAGTGATTGGACGCGCAGCCGGGAAGTCATATATATTCGCGGTGGATATTGAGACCGGCAAGGTGTTGCAACAAGATACTAGCTATATCTCTGGGTACCCATACGTCTCTTTGGAGGATAGAATGGGCGTCAAAATGTTGAGTCTAAAATAAATTCTTTATATATAATTGCCACGTCACCAAATTCAAAATTCCCTGTAAACTACATGTGAAGCATGGCCTGTGCATCTAGCTTTATTCTAATTTTAATTTCAAGCAGTAACTTATCAGAACTGTTATATAGTTATAAGCACTTTCCACAGTTGGGTATTGACCTATGAGCCTGTGTGTTAAACGTGAGTATTCTCACAAACCATCATAAAATACAGATGATTTCAATGCACAACATCTCAACAAGCCTTATTACAACCAGTAAGTACCAAAATAGTCGAAATATCAATTGCTTATCAAATCAGCAGTGGAACGTACATACGTATAAAACTTCTAACCACGATATAAACATCAAGTTTAGTATCAGTCAGCACTGGAATTTTCCAGTCTTGAGTCCTAAGTCAAGTTCTAACTGAAATATCAGCCTGTGCAGGTATTCAAGAGAACAGGCAACACTTTTATCCATATTTGTTAGTATTGAAAGATCAATTTTATCAAATAAGTTGAGACACGACTATCACAGACTCTTAGCCAATAGCAACCAAAAACCAATCATCATAAAATATTACGAGTCATTTAGAATTTTCTCCACAGTTAACAAGTTAATTTTATGAAAATCCTCAAAGAATGATAACATGTGGAAGGATTTTTCCAAGAGCTTGCTCTGGTTTAGCATAAGAGGGAGCAAAAAATGGATGAATTGAACCTAATTTCATTTCATACATACGAGGGAGTAAAACCTACCCCAATAAAATCTTGATTCAAACATGACAGAAATTCCAAAATCTATCCAAAGTGAATCAAACATTGAACCCACAGAAAAGAAACACAATCAAACATAATTCAAGGAAGCTAACCAGTTCCGGCCAAGAACTTCCTCTACTCGGTACCCAGTAACCATCTCGAATACTGAATTAACATAAATAATCGGCTGGTCCGGCTCTAACGCATCCGTGACAATAAACCCACAAGGCGCCGGCTGCAGCAGCCTGTCCACGGGAAACGGCAGACCTCCACCACTCTTCCTTAAGAGAAACCCCAACGCTTCTGCTACCTCCTCCTCCTCTTCGCTTCCGCTCAGATCAGACTCCGAATTACTGTCCCACTCCATCATACTTCACAGAAAATATCAGCACAATTTTTATCTGTTCATGCCATAATAAACGGTGAAGAATAGATTAAAACAGCGGTAAAGTTGTAAAAAATAGAAATACCCAGATCGAATTTCATTGAGGGATGCGTAGATTTTAGGTGGGAAATGAGTGGACGAGGTGTTTGACCCCGCTAAAAACAGAGAGAGAGAGATGCCAAAAAGTGTACAGGGAATTACGACTAATTTCTAATAAGGGTACGAACATGTCCTCTCTCACCACCATGGGAGAAAAGTTTGGGTGCGAATACACAAAGTTGTGGAACTACAACTGGATTAGCTTACAACTCTACTTTTTGCATTGCCACGTTAAGCTAACAAGGATAAGCATTCAAAATTCCATTTGAGGTCATCTAACTTATAAGTTTGTTTCATGTTAACCACTTAATTTTAACCTTAACTAATGACTAGTTGCAAATCGCTTAGTATTGCGTAGCTTAGTATTCGCTTGATGCTAAACAATTTTGCTATACTTGCATCATGATCAATAATTTTGTTTTACACTCCTAACATACCACACAATTCTATCATTAATTTTAACAACACTTATTTAAATCAATTATCTCGATTTTGACAACTCAAAGGATGTCAAACTAGTTGTACAATGGGTATACAACTAGCTTAATTCGATGCTAAATCAACAATTAGTTTGACAAAGACATGTAACTGCAGTGCACAATCGTAGATTTGAGATATTTAACTCACTCGTGGTTAGTGTTAAACCTCCGTTAACACATTTCATAAGTCATGTAGGATTGACGTTTTAAGTTTTGTCTTGAGTTAATTTCACCAATGGTCACTAAAGTTAAGCAAATTTTTCATTAAAGTATTTTTTTTGACTAATTTAGTCACTAAGTTGAAACTTTTTTAAAAATTCTCTAAATAAGAGATGTTTTATTTTTTAAGATAGTCGATACATAAAAATAAGTTCTAAAAGATTCTAATTTTTAATTTGTTAAAGTAGATCGTTGGGTTGATTGCCCAAATTTTTACTTTTTAATGATTGCGTTTAATAATTTACACGATACTCTATCTCGTACATTATTCAAGTCATATTTGAATTGATTGACGATTGACATAAAAAAATATGTTGAATAAAAATGGGATGAAATCAATAAATGTTTATTGAAAGAGTAAAATAAAGCGTCAAAATAGAAAACATTGTTAGAAAATATAGTAAATTTTATTCTCTAAATTTAAAGATGTCCTATTATACATAAAATGCACTTTATTAATAGAACATCTCTTGAGATACTCTAATAATATTACATAATTAGTCATTTGTTAGCCTAATTAACATCATATATTACATAGTACCTTTTAAACTTTTATTCTTTCTATTTCGCTTCCTATCTCCATTTTTTTTTACTATTTAATGATAATGTAGTAGAATTAGAGTTTAAATGAGCAACTGGACATTGAGTTTTTCCTCTTAGGAATCGTGTTTTATTTGACTATATGTAATTTCACAACACAGACACGATGATAGTTAGTCGATGTCGAAATTTATTGGGCCTTCATCAAATATGAAGTGATTGTCGCTAAAGGAGTGTTCAATTTAATGACTAAGAGCTCATTTAACATGACTTTTGAAAAGTTAAAAGGAGTTGTTGACACTTCAAAGCTGTTTTTAGATCCGTTTAATTAATTTTATAAAAGTGTTTCTTGTAATTAAAAGAGTTTTTAGAAAAAATTGGTCCAATATGGCTTTCTCTAAAATATTTTCTAGAATATGAAGAGTTTTTGAAAAATAGGTTTAAAACAAAACTATGGTAGATTTCTCCAAAAACTCTTCTACAGGAAGCAAAAGTAAAAGTAGAAGTCGTGTCAAACATGCTTAAATAGTCACAAAATACTTTTATGATCAATTTAAAAATTCACTTGAACTTCAATGAGCATTTCTAAAATAACTCTTTTAGTTGTTGATAGAAGCAAGGAGAATTTTCAAAAATATCAAAATCTATACTTATCAATTGAAATTTTTTATTGCAGAAATGACCAAATTTGGCATCAAAATTCCATTATACTCCTAATAAAAGAAAAACGAAAATCATATTTTTTATTTGGTTGTGGCACGATCCTTGAGGCAATGAAGTTACTTCTATGAGAAAGCTAACATGATGTGCAAGTTATTAATCATTTGTCCTATTTCTTACATTATCTAGTAGGTAATGATCAATTGAAGATTGGAAAAAAAACCAAAAAAAAAAAAGAAGAAGAAGGAAGATGATGCCAAACATTTAGCATTATTGCATTATGAAGAAATATATGCATTAACAAAGAAGAAAATCACATAATTTCATTTTGAGGCGGGATTTGCGAGTTGATTTGACTATCCACAAATTTTAGTAGAAAAGTCATTTTTTGAAATCCTGTTTGTATTGATAAGTTGTGTTGAATTGCTGCTGTTATATATGTTATTAAAAGGAGATTGTTTTTCACTTTTCTCTGCATTTCATTTTATTCTTAACATATGAAAAACTAGTTCTTGAATTTGATCCATGAACATTGACATTTCATTTGTTAAGAACAAGATTTTGAGGCTAGCTGGGAGCACCTGCTCTACAAGTATTTAATACATGGATTGACATTGGGTGAAGTTAGCATGTAATGCATGGATTGACATTGCTACTTTTTCAAATACTAGTATAGATTATATATGTAAAGCTTATAGCTTATGTATCAATAATCTAGTTGCTAACACAATTTCAAATTCATATGAAAATTTTTGTTTTTTGGTGGAATTTGAAATTGTTACTAAGGGTATTTTGGTCTAAATTTTAGCAGAATGAACAAATTCATAAAGGATAATTATATTACCACTACAAATTTTAATTACTACACCACATTATAATCACACCATAATAAAAATATATTTTTAATAAATACACCACAATAAATTTACAATTATAATCCTAATTCAATAAAAACGAAAACTAATAAAATATTGTGGTGTACATATCACCAATATTAATACTCATTCTCTCAACATTTCCCCTCATTATTTCACAGCCACTAGAATCGAAAGAATACCCATAAAAGCTTCGTAATTCAGTTATAAACTACAACATGTAAGAAATGTAAAGCATACTTCAAAAACTACCAGGAAATCAATTTATCTAAACAAACTGAAAGGGCCACAAGAATGCCCATAATTTAAGCATATGCAGAAATACTAGAAAAATCACCTTCAGGGAGCTTCAGAATAAAATTTTTACAACTGTTCCACTATTTTTCAGATAAGATCTCTATGAGATAAATAAAATTATCAGCTGCTGTCACGCTAAATTATAAATTACATAATGGCTGTAAGGTAGGAAGGGCAGTTGAAACTCCTTATATTAAAGTATTTAAATATATAATTGAGACAGTAATTCTCATCAAGCAAGCCGATCACATCTGAACTTTAAACTAGCTAAAACTTGAATCACAAACGTTTGAGAAAAACTAGAAAGAAAATTGAGTAATGACCAAGACTACAGAGGAGGACAACTAAAGGAACTTGCATAACATCTACAATACGAAATTGAGTTGAGAACGATGCAGTGACAATATTTTTGAGACGTGTTGCAGCATACTTAACATCAATGCACAAAACAAAAACAGAGAACTAAACTAACCTGACACCAATCCAAGCAATTTATAGCAGTCACATCAAGAAGTTGACTATGCCTACCATTTTTAAAAAGGTTGAACCACAACCTTGGGGGCCTCGCCCTTCCCCTCCCCTTCCCTTCACTTCCCTAGAGTATCTTGGAGGAAGTAAATTGCGGGATATGCTTAAACAGGCTATGATACAAGAGCTGTCATACTGGTACCCACAAAGAGTCAAATTTCATACCTTGTAAGAGGTAAGAATCGAACACTCACACTGCGGCTGCCACTTAGTTGAAACTATCTCACTCCTGTCATTTGTATCACTGAGTTATGCCCACCATTTTTTATCTGACGAAAAGGGGACCTTCATCAAAAATGAACTACCAAAGTGTTATCATCAAAAATCAACACAGTTGAGATGAGATACACAATTGAGAAAAGAAAATTATCTTGCCTCCGTAGAAGAAAACAAAAGCCATCGGAATAACTATGAGCAATGAGATGTTAAGGAAAAAGAAAGAAAGAAATTATGTTTTATATTTGTGGTGGTGTACCAATAATTTATGTAATTAAAAAATATATTAAAACCCTAATTATGTAATTTTCCTTAAGGATATTTAAGTAAATAGGAAATTTGTGGTGTAGTAATTAAAATTTGTAGTGGTAATATAATTACCCATTCATAAATAGAACAAATTTGGAATATTTTTGCAAATAACAATCTGAAAATGAACAATTTCTGCAATTTCCTCTAGAAACAAATGGTTAAAATGCAATTTGAATACTCAAAATAAAATAAATTAAAGTTCAATGACTAACATGAAATAAACCTATAAATAACATCAATTGATATTTATCAAAAGAAAAAAATAACGCTGAAACTGCAGCTGAGTATTATTTTGACTTTTGAGCTTTGTGGTTGAATTATTCTGTGACGTGTATTGTACACGTGCTTTGAGTGTTGTACTTTTCGGCCGGGTACAACGTTAACTATACGAATCATGCTAGAGGTACCTTTCCCATTACTAGTAAGTCAGTGAAGTTTGAAGGAATCATGCTAGAGGTACCTTTCCCCTTACCCTTTACATTACCCGACCCCACACTCCCCCCTCACAAGGGGGGGTGCCACGGATTATTTAATTCACATCGGGCCCCACCTCATTGTGAGGGGGGCGGTGGGGTCGGGTAATGTAGAGTGTAAGGGGGAGGGTACAAATGGCTTTACCCTAACTATACATGTTTAATGTAGGTTACGTTGTGGTGATATACGTTTAGTCTAGAATAATTTTTTTTCGGGGAATTAAAATTGAATAATGCTACATTTAAAAGAATATTTCACAGAGTTTTTTTGCAGAAGACACGTGATGCGATTTCATAGGACAATTGAGAAAAAAAAAAAAAAAAATACCCATACACAGCACCTATGAAGCATGTAAACAAGGGGAATTGCTCATTAAAATTAGTAAAGCCAAGGATCGATTAAAGAGGACATTTTGTTTGATTTATATATGTTGTGTTTGAGTCGGGTCCAAACTAACTTTTATTAACTAACTATATTTTGTACGATTTTATCAATTAAAAAAAAATAACAACTGCAAGGCCACAAAAAGGGGAAAATAGTCAAATGTAAGAAGAAGATCCAAGGAAATTCTAAAGATACATAGTTAAATCTTCTCCAATGATCTACACCAAATATGATATAAATTTACACCAAATTTGGTATAGACCATTGAAATCGTTTCATATCAAATTTTATTTTGAATTATTAAAATTATGTTATTACAAAAATCTTTAAATTAAAAATTATATTTAATTAACTAAAATATTGCATTTATTAATAACTTGAAAATAACATTAATATAATTATTAATTATTAAAATTGTAACTAGTGCTAATTTATTAAGAGCTTGTGTGGGAGGGATTAAAATCAGATTAAAATTGAAAATATAGCTGTTCGAATTGACTTTTATTAGACGAGTGGGATCCAATAACTGCTATATTTTTAATTTTAATTGAATTTTAATCATTTCCAAACAAACTCTAATTATCCTTGTAATGTACTTTCACGTATTTAATATATTTATGTTGTTCGTGTTAATTTATTAATTATCAAATTTGTATCTTTTTGACTTTTTAACGAACAAT